TCCGAAGACGCGAGTGTTTGACATAGACTTCGAGGCCCGGTTCCTTTCGGTCAGGGATGGCTCGCACATTCAAAGCTTCAATGACCTCATCTGTTGAAGGCCTCGGATCTCTCCGTTACAGGGCCGATCGCAATAGCACCACGGNNNNCTGATGTCATTCTGATCAGATGGAGCGTTGCTTTAGTTGGGAGTCCCGGACCTTTACGGTTTCCGGAATTGAGGCTTTGTGTTTCATTGGTGTGTTCGCAAGCGATCGAATCTTAGTGTCGCACATAGAGCGATTGCTTGCATTTCGAGGTGGCTCCTCCTGTGGTCATGACCACTGCCGGGGACCGATGTTCCGGGTTTGGATTCATGGCTTTCGGAAATTCGAAAACAGAACCGGGTTTTCTGTCCTTTGTGCATATCACATGTTAAAAGTTAATCTTTTCTTGGATTCCCTGACAGCCCGTCCTTCAGAGTCTGAATCAATGACTTGTGCAGGATTTCGAACTTCTCTGAGCCCGGGCGCTCTGGGCTGCTGTTCGAGTCTTGGTTGTCTAGTTATATCAGATAGATATAGTTTCATTATGTGTGAAGTTTACGGTTATGGTGTCACATCCAGAACATGACTGGCACATGTCTTCGCATGAAGGGTTATAATACACAATGTCATTGGGGTTGACCTCTGGGAGTATTTTCTGGGGTCCAATGCTGTTCGTGCTTCTCTCGAACTCAGGAGTTTTGACGACATCTCCATGATGACAATTGAATGCAATCTTGATTTGTGGCTTGGACATCAATAAATAATAAAGAGTGTCGTAGCTGCCGCCCCGTGGTTTTGGAGATGAGTGGCTGTCGCACTTTCACAGCCGAGCCACTTTTTCAGCCCGCTTCAGCTTGGGTATCCCAGGCGGCCTACTCCTATGCAATCGATGAGCTATCTGGCTCCGATGCAATCGATGAGCTATCTGGCTCCTATGCAATCGATGAGTTATCTGGCTTTGCCACCATTATTTCGATTCTATTTATTGGTGATTGTGACTGTGACTTGGTTCAGCATGTGAGCTCTCGGCTGCACGTTCCAATCGAATTGTGGTGGCAAAGTGATTAGCCTGATTGATTGTCTGTCTGCTTTCCCCTGGTTCTTAATTACCTAATTATCTTGGAGTATGTAATAAATAAATAGCAAGCCCGGCCTTACCCTAAACCCTAAATCCTAAACCCAAAACTCTACGCAGATCAGAAATTCGATGGGTTAGCGGGGTTCGGCTTGCTGCTGCTGGAAGGATTAGAGGATATAGTTAATTGCAATAATATTTCCGGGTGTCTTAGGAACCAAACTATAGTCTATTATAGACCTAAGACCAAAGCCCTTCAGACTTCAGCAGCCCTTCCCGGCAGCGGCGGGGAGCCGCCAATCACGCACCTTGGTCGGTCGAGGGGCAAAAGCAGAGAGCCAGCAGCATCCGATGTGCATCATGGTGTCGTGACTAGTGACTGAATGTGATTCAGACTGAAGCCTGTGCTGATCACCGGTTGCCGATCCTAGTTTTTGCTCGTGGGCAGCGGCAGGCTGCCTTGATTTGTGTGTGGCCCCCCTGTGGCCCCCCAGTGCTTCGGAGCTTCGGCCATGGGGAAGGAGATGAAGGGCAACCTCCGCAGGACGGTGCTGCTTCCTTGGTCGGTGCTCTTCCTTTTCAGTTTGGGGCAAATAAGATGGCTTGGCATGGGGCACGGGATGGTTGCATATATGAAGAATGTAATTAGATTGCTCGTTCGATTGGAGGTACGACCTTCAGGAGTGGTAAGCATCCACATAGACACTTGCATATTGTGAATAGGTCGTTCCTGTCTGACTATTAATAAATTAACTAAGGAGCTAGAACATGAAGCTATTCATCTGATCCTGGGTTTCTTCGGTTGCTCAAGCCTGGGTTTTCAGGGACCGTGATGTGACGCAGGGATTTTGTGAGCCAGGGCCAAACGAAACAACTAATCAGCCAACTGATTATATCACTCAAAGCAGCAGCCTAGACCTCAATTTGCAAGCCGCACACCCGAGGCTGAACATCTAAACAATGGGTCGCATTTCGGAGGCCAATGTAGCCAGGAAGTTGCTTCGTTGTTGGATGCGACTTCTAATCGTCTGGGGTCTCTAGTCTAGTCGCCCATGCCATTATGCAGTGGATTCGGTTCAAGCGATTGCACGTCGTGTGGAAGCCAAGACTTGAGTCCTGAATCCTGACAAGCCTCGCTCCAGAGCCCTCTGCCTACACCATATGTGTTATCCGAAATAGACTAGGAAGCTAATCGCTTGTGTGGGCAGGACACTGTCGACCAAGAGCATGGCATCCGTTGCAGAAGACGAGAAGGCGGCCGGCGAGGCGAACGCCAAGGACTTCCTGCTTAACACGGCCAAGCGGAGCTTGGATGAGGCTTTCGGAATCTCGGTGGCACGTAGATTTTAGATTGTGTTCTGGGACAACAGTCGCAGGTTTCGCTGGCTTTTGGGGCACGGAGATCTTGATTGTGCTACTAGCACTTGGGTACACGCACTCGCACATGCATATATATATATATATATATATATGTATGTAGACACACAGACTTCTACTCGCACGGACGCACAAAACACACATCTAAATCATATAGCAGCTTGTCATGATATAGCTTTATGTACAATATGTAGACACATGCAACATACAACCAACAGAGTAGAATAGAGCAGAATGTATGGTAATATTAGTATAAAATAGTATTCGTATACGATATCACATCATCATGACACACCACATAACAATGTGTATGTCTGTGTATATGTATACACAAACATATATCTGCCATATCACTTAATTAACAATTCGGAGCACACAGCAACCAGTATACAGGCTTAAGGGTTTAGGGTTTAGGTTTAGGGTATAGGGTTCTAGGGTTCTAGGGTTCTAGGGTTCTAGGGTTCTAGGGTTCTAGGGTTCTAGGGTTCTAGGGTTCTAGGGTTTAGGGTTTAGGGAATAGATTATTCTACACATGCATGCACGTGTCCTAACTCTTTGCTGGCTCGCAGATTGAAGCACTTCTTCACACTCGTTCTCTCACACTGACACACTTGCTCTGACCCCTCGCACCGCTTGTTGTCACTCGCACGACCTCGCACACTCATGTGCACACACACACACACGTTCACTCACTCACTCTCTCTCTCTCTCTCTGTCGCTCTCGCTCGCTCTCGCTCTCTCTCACTCACCCTTGCATTCATTCACTTCCTCACTCCTTTGCTCGATAACTCACGGCACTCACTCACTGTCTCTTTCTTTTCCCGTCTCTATCTCTATTCGTCTCTCTCTCTCTCTCTCTCTCTTTCCCTCTCACTCACTCTCCCCTTCTCTCCCCCTCTTAGCCTTTGCCGCCCAGCCAAACCCAGGACCCAGAACCCCACCCACACCCCACCCACACCACAAACCTGGCAACTCACCCCGACTGCCCAGCCACCCGCCCGCACGGTCTTCGCATGTGCTTCACGCAGACACAGATCAGCAGAGTCCGTTGCACCGCCAAGGGCTGGACAAGAGTCTTGAGAAGGACAAGAAGAAGAAGAAGAAGCAAGAGAAGAAGAAGGACAAGCACAGGAAGAAGAAAAAGGGCAAGAGGTCTAGCAGCTGGCTGCATGAGTGTCGTACACATGTCCTGATAGGTTCTTGGGCATGCCACTTCTCTCCTTTCTGAGGCAGCTCCGGCTCGTCCTCTTCGGAAGACAGCGACACGGAGCCATCGCAAGATGGCTTTGAGGATGCTGCCGCAACCTTTGGGCTTTGCAAGAAGGACATGCTCAGGACGCCGGACACGACCACACTGGTCGATCTTGATGCTCGTGCCACAGCCCTGGTGCTCAGCAAGATCTCCCCGGTCATAATTGCCAATGATATTTATGAAATGGGAGGGGAGTTGGCAGCTTGTCTTGATAAAATAGGCATGTCGAGTTGTCGGGCTTCCCTTGGCTGCTCCTACCATCCATCCTCAGGAGACGCTGCTGAGAAACAAAGCCCTCTCGGCCAGGAAGAACCGAGCGAAGAAAGAGCAGGAGGATGCTCAGTTCCAGGTGCTCTGTTTGGGATAGTCATGAGCTAGTCGGGGTCTATTGGAACCGTTGCCCAAGCATGCTGATAGAATTACTACAGCCATGTTCCGTGTACTAGAGTTTAAGGGGCTCGGGACTCGAATTTGGTGCAGGTCGCTAATGTCTGATTTTCGACAGATACAACACAACTACGATTATTAAAGCGATCCCCTAATAGATGCAAGCCACAACGAACCATGTAGCCAGACGGAGCCCTTGCTGTGGCAGTCGACGCAGCCTCAGCTGTATCCCCAAATCACAAAGCTCTTAATTATGTTGGGTTCACAACAAATTCAGCCTCGAAGCTCCGAGCCAAGCTTCTTCTCTTTCCCAGATGAAAGCGGCCGGCACGATGTGGAAGCGGAGGATGGGCTTGCTGGCCCAGCATCGTTCCTTGGTTTGCACATCTGGATCATCACTGACTGTGCAAGTCTGGGACACGACTGCTTTGTTGTTTTGACTGCTCTCGCATGCACAATACATATGTCAGGCCCTGCAGGCTTTTAAGCCGACGTGTAAAAGAAACCAATAAAGGCGAGGCTTGTTGTTGACCAGGTTTGGGCGAATCACATAATAGCGCCAGGAATTGCAAATTCCCGTAGTGACCGACTGGTAATAACTGGCAATAGCAGCGACACTCTCCGGCCCGTCCCCGCACACAGCCACATGTGAAGGTTTGCAGAGCCGAGACTGTAATTCAAAGCCCAGACATGTCCTGCACCCGAAGCCTACCGGACTACCTATCCTTGCTGCAGTCGCCGGCCGCCCGCCTTCGTCGATCCGGCTTTGTGCCGCCAAGACCCTCTTCGATTGCTCGGCCGTGATCCGCACCCTGCACAAGAGGAACTTGAAGACACTCAACACGACTAATCAGGGTGTTTCGGTTTTTTGTCCCGTCTGTGCCTGCAGTGTGATCTTTTCTAGACTAGAAAGAGATTATCTAAGGAAGTACCCGGGCGGCAAGGAGGCTTGGGGCCAAGCACTGGACAACATGTTGCAGGAAGCTCGCCAGGTGCTCGTGTCAGTCGTCGGTTGTCAGCTGTTGCTGCTAACTTTCGTCCATTTTAGATAGCCACGCAGGCAGCTTCGGATGACTTGAAGCTGCAGATGAAGCAGGCCGAGCAGCCTAAGGCGGGTAGGTCTGCGAAGCCGAGCAAGGAAAAGAAAGCTCCGGAGCCGGAGCCGGAGGCCTCGGAGAATGAAAAGGAGTCGGTGCCCAGCCCAGTGGAACCGCCGCCCTACTGCGATTCGCAGTCGGAGCAGGAGGATGATGAGGAGGATGAAGATGATGATGCTGATGTGTTTGCGGGTAAGTTCCGTCTGCCCGCCAAGAATGCAGACGGGCCGGCCGATTTGGCCAAAGTCTCTCCGAAGGTGAAGCAGGCTCTGCAGAGCTTCGATCGTGACGTGGTGGAGTCTCTGCCACAAAACCTTTCCCCGTGCCTCGGTTGCCTTGTTGCTGTTGTCGCTCGTGTGGGTCTGTGTGCCGGGCTGCGACACCCTAGAAACTAGAGCCACAGTGAGTCTGATTGTTTGAGGACCGATTTCGGCTATTGGGTGCTTTGCCTCGAGAAGGAGGCCTTGACGAAGATGGAGTACTTCAATCTGAACATCGAAGGTGGATTCTCAGAACCATTACATAGTTCAACTGTGCAGCCGTTCTTGTTGTTGCTGTTGGTAATGTGTTTTTCTCCCCTTGAAGCAGGTCACCTTTCGCAGAATTTGGGGACTGGAAAGCCCTTCTTCGCGAAGATGTCTCTGAGGGCCCGCAAATCCTTTGATGAATGGGCTCGGAAGATCCCCGGTGTGACATCAGAAGCCCCTGGGGCCCCTTCAGAGGCACTCAGGCTGCAGTATTATCGCAAAGTGGGGCTCACCCCAAACCCTAAACTTAGCCCTAAACTCGAAACCCTAAAACCCTAGCCAAAGGCCTCGTTGACACCGTCGAAGGCGACGGTCACGATCACGCCGTCGCGACGCCCAACGGCCACGAAGCCAGCATCCTGAGTGGCACTGAGTAGCTGTACCCCGGTGTGATGGATGCACTTAGGCTACAGGGTTTCGATATGCAGGGCCAGGTTTAGGTTCAAGGCTTTTCAAGGGTCGAGTGGAAACACTTAGTCTGTGCAAGTGCCCAAAGCACCGAGGATGATTTAGGCGATGTGCCGACTCGTGTTTCTCGACACGTCTGTCACAGTCTTCGCTTGCAGTGCTACAGACAGGGTACTGTGAAAACACGCCCGTGGTGTCTATGCCCAGACATGAAGCCAGCGAGTCAGCAGGAGCATCGATTGTTATCTGCAGTGACTTTGTGTTTGTCGGTGAATTAGACTAAAGCAGTGCCATCCCGTGCGAGGTCATGGCTCCGATGCAAACATGAAACATGAACATAACTGATGAGGAACCAAATAACATCATGAACCAGTGTAAACCAAGAAGCTAAAACTGTAACAGTTGAGGCTCTGTCTGGCGACTAGCAGAAACTGTAGTCTTGTGAACAGCTTTAAACCCGAAGCCGATTTAAACCCCGAGTCCCTGAAATCCCTGCCTTGTGCTGTAATACTAATACTAAGACTAAGTGAAGTACGTGACAAACCCCTAGCCCGAATCCCGGCCCTAAGCCCAAACCGATAACTAGACAAAGGACGAGCTTCTCTGGGTGGCCGATCAGCAAAACACAAAACAAGCCCGAAGCCCAAGGAGGGCTACTAGCTAAACCTAAGCCTCCTTCCCAAACCCCCAGCCAATGTAGTTCAAGTTGAGAATGTAAACCCGAGAACACCCCGCCCGAAACCCTAAAATTAAGCAACGGAGCCTTCTGAAAGCTTTTGCTGCCGTGGTTTCGCCTTTGGTGCCCAGCTGGCCCTGCTGCTCCTCGGCTGCAAAGAGCGACAGACGGGCTGGGTTGGGCTCAGGGTGCCTGGGGCGGGAAGGCTGGACTTGCTGGAAGAGAGATTAGAGGAATGGCTGAGAGGGGGGGGGTTTGGCGGGGGGGGGGGCGGGTCAGGGCCGGGTTGCTGGAAGAGAGATTACAAGGGTGGATGGGGGGGTTGGGTGGAGGGGGGGGCCCGGGGCAGGCCGGGCCCCAATTGCTGGAAGAGAGATTAGAAGGCAAAGTGGTGTTCTTTTGCAAACAGTAGAGCTTTTGTGGCCCAGACGGTGTTCGGTCCTGCTGGAACGTGCTCGCTCGCACTTGGCGTGCTCGCTCAGACTTTCCGTGCTGGCTGACATCCCCCGTGCTCACTCGCACGCAACGTTCTCGCTCACCGCGAAGTTTTCGCCAAGGTCGCGAACCGCGCGGGCAAAGAAATTCGAGATAGCATGCAGTTCTGTTAGACGGGGCAAACCGCTGTTAGGTGTAAAAACACATAGGAATCCTGCGTGCTCGCTCGATGCCCCGTCGTTTGCTGGAGTACGTGCTCGCTCGGATTTTTCTTTCGCCAAGGTTGCGAACCGCGCGGGCACAAACCTGTTTGCAGGCATGCAGGGTTGAGTGAGCATCCTAGGCGACCATGGCAGCCGGTCCCTGGCTTGAAGGGAGATTACAGAAGCTGTGCGGGTTTCTCGGCTGCAATATCCAACCAGTGGGCGAGTTAACGTGCTCGCTCGGGGCAAACGTGCTCGCTCCGTGCCCCAGACTTATGATGATCATACAGCAGCGAAACCTAAGGCTTCTGAATGACCAGGAGAGAGAGGACTTCAGGAAAGACATCCTGAAAAAAATAGAATGGGTGGATCTCTGCTTCACCAACAACAGGCCTCTCGGGACACTCGAGGTCACCCCTCCAGACTGGGAGGCCCGGGGCTCATGACACTTCTAGATTCTAGTCGGATCAATGAACCGAATGAATCACAATGACTGAATCTTCCGTCTGGCAGGAGGCACTGATGAGCTTTCGGGCCAAAGCAGCTTCCTTGGGCCTGTGGTTTCGGCCGAGAATCTTCGGTGCTGCTGCAGTAGCAGAAAACAGTGGCCAGGCGCCAGATGCAGCAGCAGCAGCTTCCGATAGCAGCTGTAGTCCTGGGCAAGACTACCACAGCTTCGAGACCGTTTACTTGGCCTCCACCAAAGCCGTGAAGGGGATTCTACAACTACACAAGGCACCGACTTAGGGAGAGCTGGTCTTCAATTTCATTGGTTATTGCCTGACTGGCATTCATGCATTCAATTGATTGACTGAATGATTGACTCAAGACCTGCACAGGTGGCTGAGGACATCCAAGGCTATCGAGTGCTTTTCAGGGTGGAGGAGCTGTGGTCTTTGGCCAAAAGGCAGCAGCACTTCCACAACTTCTTTTCCAAGCTGTGCCCGGCATGCAAGCCCGGCCATAGCTAAGCCCAAAACATCTTCTTACCCGCCCGAGACCAGACCCTACTGAGCAAAAGCTGCCTAGTAAGAATACTAGCTGACACTAGCTAACTATCGGAATTAATATACTAGTCCAATATTCATAATACGTTGATATAATCACTTCTCGTTCCTATTCAAAACCTGGCCAAATAAAACCTGAAATGATAATAACCGTACTGGTCCTTGCTTGCTGGCCGTTAAATCCGAACCCAAGCAATATTCTCGGATCTGAGGCACGAGGGACTCGTGATGGATGTTTGCGAAGCTTGGAAGGTAGACCTCGTCAACGTCCATTGCATCCGCAAATCGAATTACAAGGGACAGCACGAGAGACTGAAACAAAACCCCGACCGCATCCGCTTGCCCTTCGACGGGCTAACCATGCCCGGAGCGATTTTCCTCGTGACTCGGCTGCACGATATTCCCACTTCTGATCCAGTGCTGTCCAAGCAGCATTGCCTTGAATGAACTGATGTGCAACCTCGGACGAGGCAAGCTATGTCTTGCAGAGCCGTGGCTGCAAAGAGGAGATGCAAACAGCTGCTCTGTCAACATTGGATGTGATCTTGGGCACCACTGTTGTGGGAAGCTTCCGGTTGGCTTTGCTTCCTCAGAACGAGGCCTGTCGCTTGGCTTAGGTTCCTACGTTTGCCACTACTTAAATTAAACTCTCATGCCGACATCATCCTGCTTCTGCTGCTGCTGCTGCCGTGACATCTGTGCTCGGGTTATCTGAGGTCTCTTGCACATCCACGATGGCTATGTGTCTTTGGCCTCCTGGCAAGCTTTCCTGGAATATGCCAATCTGAAACAGAGGTCCGAAGCAATGCCAATAATTACCAAGAATTTGTGCCTTCAACCACAGAAAGCCTTAGAGCACACAAACCTCGCAGGTGGCAAAGCTGCCGGATCCTCTCCAAAGAAGAGCAGTCAGTGGACACAGGCTTGGCCATCGTGCAGTGTAATAATACATACAGACCAGCCCCCAGCTCTGGAAATTCCCTATCCTAAGGCCTTCGTTTGCCTGTGGTCGTGTGGTTTCTACTTCGGCAGCCCCACACGGATGATCTGGATGCCGCTTGAATAATTCTTGATTACTAGACAATGAAATGCTCAGTAACAATAATTAAGCAGCAGGCCTAGAATTTGAGTCTCGATTCATACAACCCACAACCGAGGCAAAATACAAGTTTGCTCGGCTACAACGACGGCTGATCCATATCTTGAGTCAGTCTGCTGAAAAGTCGGTCGAGACGCTGACCACCAATGTGCTGCCGCCCTTGTCTGCAGACCACACATTCCACCCGGCGACCAAGCTCCTCGCCCGCAATCAGTCTCGGCTTGGTGGGGCAGGGGGCCAACTTGCTGTTCTGCTACGACCAGGGACGGGCGACGATTAAAGCTGGAGTGCAAGCCAAAATCGGAGATGGCCATCGCCCGATTCCTCTCACGGGGCGGTGGCTTCTGCAGCAGCCAGGCAGATGCAAGCTTGAAGGAGGTGGGGCTCGAGTCGATGTGCCCCACGCATTACAACAGGACTGGGCAGTCTTCTGCAAGAGACAGCTCGACTTGCATCGACTATTGCATTACTACGCACGATATTGCAAAAGGACGACGGCTGACTTCGTGCATCGCTATCTCCGCAAGACCCAAGAGAAGACGCAACAGGCCACCGAAATCGCAACTCCCAAGCACGCCTTGATGTTCAGCTCTGATTGCATCCGGCTCAGGTTCTCAGCGGCCTGCAAAACAAGTCCATCGCATTGATATGCGACGCCAGCCCCAAAGCGAAGCACGACGAGTCTAGGTGGCAGATTGGGGTGCCAGCATGGCCTACAATTCAATCGTTGCAGGGGTTAGGAACCGAGTACTGAGGTGTGGTTGCCTGTGTTTGCCCTACCGGACCATCTATCAGTTGGCACGCTGCAGAGATTGAGCACCCTGCTCCCATCCACAGCCTCCGCAAGCGACAAGTTGGCCGTGGCAGCTATGGTCGCCGAGTCCCACACCAAAGCGGTCCTGGCCGAGCCGACGACACACCACGAAAAGAAAAAACTGCATCTCGCAGCATGCAATGCACAATGTGTTCTTGGGTGGACTGGAGGTAGCTGATGTGCACATGCCACAACTGAAACTTAGGCCTAAAGCGCTGAATTCCCTCAAAGAGGACCGATTATCGGCGAAGCAAGAACTCAAGGCCGTGGCGAATGTGCTGAGCCACATCGGGCTCTCTTTGGACCAGCTGTGGCCGAGCTCCCCGTGTTCTCCAGTCGACCCCCACACCGAGGAGCGACGACTTCATACTATGGGCGACGAGATCCAGGGTTATGTTGTCAACAGAGAGACAGGCAACAGCCGATGGGACACACATGTGCCTGATGAAGCCCTACGACTTATCTTTTGTCCGGATCAAGGAGGACCTCTGTTTTCAGCATTCCAATTCTTGGCTTACAACAAGGCGAAAGTAGGGTTCGTCAGGGACGAGCTGTAGCTCTGCTGCAATGAGCCAGTGCCTGCAAGTAGTTTGTGGTGCCTTTGTGCTGTTGTTTGGTGTGCTCGGGTTGTGTTTGGCCTCTCGTGATTCTTTCAGGCACAAGATCCATGCCCACATGGGTCGTGTTACATCCTGCAGCCCGATGATCAAACGACACTTGGCTGTTGGGATTTCTTGCTGATCAATCCAACTCTCGGTCTGATTTAATCAAAGCCAGTGAAACTTAATGGTGTTTGTCCCATTGCTTAGGAATGACGCTATTGAGCGGCTGGCTCTTCAGAGCCAAGAAATCTCCTTGGGGCACAAGCAATGTTGCTTCCACCCTGAAAGAGGCCGGGGAAAGATACCTGGAAGTTGTGCCTCAACCAAATCTTACTTCGATGGTGCTGCTTTGACTTAAAAGATGCAGGAACCGGCTTGACTGAAAGATAAAACCTACTAAGGCTCAGCCAGACGATGTGCTGATGGAGCTTTTCAGCAGGGACATCTTGAAGGAGAAACTAATCGCGAACAGACTGTCGGGTTTTTCAATGCTGAATCGCTTGACTTGAACTAATTAAATGACTTTGACTAAGTCTAACAGAATCTGAACTTCCATGAATCAATCCGAGGAACGGCTTCCCCTACACCTCGGATGCCAAGCTGAACTTCGAGAGGACAATCGACCTCCTCGGCAAGACCATCAAGTTGCTCGGACGCAAGACATCCATTGGAGGAAGCTGAATATGATCCCAGAGTGATTCATAGACGTGCCTATTTGGGTCTAGAAACTAGGTACAACAGTGAATCCTTCTCTTGGTCTCGATGGTGCTCATGGGCCCACACTGCTGCAAACTTCCAGATGTCGGGCACTTTGCTGTTGATCTTATGGAGCTCCATTGAGGCCCGGCTTGGTCGCTACAGTGCTCATATTGCTACGCAACCACTCTCTCTGGCGATTCTCTTTCTCGCTCTCTTTTTGTCCCGCCCGCCCCCGCTCTTTCTCGCTCTCGCTCTCGCTCTCGCTCTCGCTCTCGCTCTCGCTCTCGCTCTCGCTCTCGCTCTCGCTCTCGCTCCTCCCTCTCTCTCTCTCTCTCTCTCTCTCTCTCTCTCTCTATATATATATATATATATGTTATATCTTGTGTACACTATATATATATATATATATGATGAACCAAAGATAAACAATTATTGTAACTGTATGGTCTATACATGTAGATTATATATATATATATATATATATGTATATATATTTATTTATTTAATTTATTATAGTAATTAATTCAATGAACCGCCTAACTCGGAGAAGTTCCCCATGTGCTCTTTTCTCGTATTTCTGTGGTACACAGGCAAACACTCGCATAGCCACACGGTCACACACCAGCTTGAGAACAGGTGGGCAAGAACCCGCTGAACATGGACGCCCTCCAGAGGGAGAGCGAGTCTAGTCAGGACAAGACCGTGGAAAAGTGTGTGAAGGCCTGTCGCCTCTGTCTATTATATTGCCTTTCACAATTGACCCCCCCCCTCCCCCCGCATTCGGCACTCCAAACAGGCTCTCATGGACGAGCAGCTCTTCGGCCTCTTCCGCTTCGCCCGCCACGTGGTCACTCCTTTCAAAGACATTTGCTTGCAACTTGTGCTACAGCTGCAGAGAAGATGGACATACTGCTCGGCAAAGAACATAGCAGCTAGCTGCAGTTTGCATGTCGTCATGTCGTGTCTGCAACTAAGCAACAAGATCAGAGCAAAAAATGGGCTCTCCACAACTTCACGCTGCGAGCTAACACGAGCGAGTTGGAGACGACCATCTCGGCCCTCGCGACTCAGTGCCTCTCCTTGAAGGTTTTCGACATGGCCCCGGACGTGGCCATCAACGAGCAGGCCACGCGAGATGCAGTTTGATCATGTTCTGTTCGTGTCTTTGTGCCAAATCGTCCAACCCTGAGTCTCCAAAGTAGCACTGTCACCAACTATTACTTAATTGCCGAACCCGAAGCCCGGCCACTCCGAGTGTCGAATGCTGAATCAGATCAGAAGCCGCCCGCACGAACTCACGCACGAACCAGGCACCATTGAGCCGGATCATGGGACGGTCGGCAAAAGACGTGTAGGTCTGAAGGCTCACCGATTAGGGTTCAGCACAGTCAACAGACTGCTGCTTACCAAAAGCAATCATAATGAATAATCCATAGCGACAGTCACATGAGCAGCAGCGAGTTTTGTTCAGCTTTGCGAGCAAACGATTGTTTGGATGATTATAATCTCAGTAGTTTTGTAGTGGCAATCGTGGTCCTGATAGAAAAAAAACAAACGTAGTCATAGCCTCTTGCTCACGAGGACACACAGACCACGGTGCTCGATCATTACGCTTTCTTGGATTTGGTTATTAAACCACATGAACCGAGAAACCTGTTTCATTCTTGCCAGCGAGAAATCTAAAAGAGAAGATCTCGATCTTTTGAGTTTTGGGCATCGTCCATCAGTCGATACACCCACTACACAGTTATACTTAACCACTATTCTATTCATTGTAGTCCATTTTAACAGTCCCACCCCAAATCGTCGATCATGGCGGGAGCATTCGAGCATCGCAATCTCAGCATTCCAAGCCCTGCTTGCGAGGCTTTGGTGATCAAGTTTCGCCGGTGCTCTACCTTTCAGACAGTGTTGTCTGAGTCGGTAAGGATGTACCTGTGTGCATCACAGGAGCTTCTGGAACACTTCCTGTATCTTCGGAGCTCGCCGTCGAAGGCCGCCGCTCTGATCGCCCCCGATCCGGATCCACAGATCCAGAGGCTCATTTTGAGCCAGATGAAAGCTGAGTGGGAGATGATCTTGAGACTTGAACAGAGCCCCGCACACGCGGCCGAGCTGCACGAGCATTGCAAGCATGTCTGCTACCAATGCTACCGCGAACTTATGGGGGGATGGGAGAAGCACAGCTGGCAGGTGCACCCTGAGGCCCAAAGCCTCACTTTGTCCTGGTTCCCAGAAGTCGCATGGTCGTCGAACATAGAAAGTTTGTTCAAGGACATGACGGCGGCAGTGAAAAGATCGGGACAATCAGATATGGGCTCACTACCCAACCTTATGTCTGTGGCCATCCGCGGGCTTCATCGCCGTTTGTGTGTCGAAGAAAACTCCCCGACACCTTTGGCCCTCGAGAAGGAGGATTGGTCTGGAGCCCAAGCTCCTGCATTGAAGCCGAAGATCTTCAATCCCACGTCTGCCCCCCCCTGCTACTTGGATGCGAGATGGTGAATTGCGATATCAGCTATAGTCTCTCTCTCTCTGTCTCTCTCTCTCTCTCTCTCTCTCTCTCTCTCTCTCTTTTTCTCACGATATTGACCTTGCTCTCTTTCGTGTCTAGGATGTAGAAATGTCTGGTCGATTTCAAGGCCAGAACATCTGTTTCGACAACATTTGCAAGCCGTTCCCGTCGACCTCCGCTTTTCATCACAACCACCACTCCCTGAACTTCATGTCCGGATTGATGCTTGCAGATTCGCTTCTTGCCTGAAATGGACAAAGATGTGCCAACAAACCAAGAGTGGCATCCGGCAGTATTCCGTTTCATTCCACCGCCAAGGATGGGTCGAGATCCCGCCGCTGAAATGAAGCATTTCTGGGTGCCCGAGACCGTTTTTACAGGGATGATGTTCAAGAAGGGTGAGAATTACTTCTTGTCTTTGGGGCGAACGCCGGCGATTCTGAATGCTCTTGGGCTTTGATTGAATGAACGCAGCTTAGCCATCATTGACATTTCCCTGCGGTCGAGTTTAGGTCCAATCCATCACAGTCTGAGGCTGTGCAGCTCAAGGAGTTGCCTTGGTCCTTCACGGGTCCTCTGCCCGTGGAGGAAAACGATGAGACGCGAATCCCGGCACATGTGGATGGGATTGCTTCTGATCCGCTGTCAGCGGGTGAGACGAGCCCCGCTTTGACTCTGGACATTGGAAGGTGGGCTTATATTGTAGATTTGATGGGTGGTAATCGCATCCAGTATGACTTGCAGGCATATGGTCTGCAAGCTGCTCGTGCAGGTTGACGAGGCCTGTCACGGATTTATATCGCATCTAGATGCAGGTTTCGGGGGTTTTCGCAAAGCCTCCACCGTCAATATGCCTTCCAGGTGCGGTTTTACGATTACAGCATGCACTTGTGTGACCAGAGCCTGGCCGAGAAGTGTGGCACAAGCCTCGTCTTGCGACGGGGCACGAAAAGCTTCTCGCTGATGCCGTTTTTGGTGGAGAAAGGGTTCATCCTGCAGCTTACGGTTGCCAACCTGATGGACTTTCTGAATTCTTGCGGCATCCGAATGCCAAAGAATACTACGAAGGCGGCACGAATCAGAAAAGTCCTGCAGATGGACAGCATCACTCAGGAATGCAGTCCGGAAAGGATCCAGGCGGTGCTGCAAGCACTGGAGAAGCAGGAAGAGAAGAGAAGAAAGAAAGACGCTCAGGCGAGCGAGCCAAGCAACAACGAGGCGCTAAATCGTGAAAGTCGTGGGTTCATAATGTTATGATTGCTCTTATCGAATATATGACGGGGGAGCCATCGCACCAGGCAGAGATCCATTGGGAGGAGCTGGAAGAAGATGCAGCCGCAAAGGCTTGCAGAGAGCTTCTGGTTGGTATGGGCGATGCCGAGGATGATGATGAAACTACACTGCAGTATCCTTCTCTCTCTCTCTCTCCCTCTGTCGCTCTTTCTCACTCTCTCTCTCTCTCGCTCTCTCTTTTGCTGTCGTTGCTGCCAGCCACCGCTTGAATTGTAATGGGTTTCGATACATCCGAGGTGCCACCGGAGCCGGTGGCCGATGATTCTACTTCGATTGCTGCAAGAACACCGCCAGCTTTACCTGCTAGGCCTTCGAGGGCTGCCCTTTCGAGTACGACTTCGTTGCCGGAGGAATTGACCCGGCAGTTTCCATTACCAGATGGAACATCTATTCATATGATTACTCACAAAGACCGAACCCTACCACACTTTCAGGGTCGTCTCCTGAACGGGGACATCGTGGACGGAAAGAGACTTGCCCGCAAGTAGATCAATCAAGCAAATCGCACAAATCAGAGATAACTGAGACAACACAATGGTCTACTAAGGAATTCCTGCGCTGCGAGTTTTAACCCAGAGCTCCCTCCTCGTGGTCATGACTCCAGAAAAAAAAAGCTTTCAGCGCTCCCAGCGGCCAAGCGGAACAGGGAGCAGGCATTTTTCATGGTGTGGTCTTGGCTAAGCCAAGCAAGCTCTCAGACTCGTCGAGCGCAAAAGCGCAAGAGAGCCGGGGCCTAGGGGTCCCAGGGGAGATGTTTCGTCGGATGAATAGAATAGATAGTTCTCACACAATATAAATAATAATAACACAAGTTTTGCGGGAAAACCTGCTACCAGGCGAAGCATCCATGGGGAACGCTGTGCACCAAGATCCAGCAGGGGAACAAAAGAAACGAGCGAGTGAGCATGCAAACATGTTAGAAACACGATGGGTGAGCGAGCATGGCATTGGCAATCTCTGATATATTGCAAAGCCTTAAGCCCTAGACCCTAAACCCTAGTTCCTTTCCGTTGTTTCCGCATTCGATGCCTTATGACCTCATGTGGGAATGCAGATAACATCTCCAAGACGAACCCAAAGAAATCCTTGCCTAAACCGTCCCTCAGGATCCAAGCAATCTCTATAGAAAGGAATCAGAACCCACTGTGTTGTAGGGTTGAGGGGTTTCGGTGGTAGAACTCATAAAGGAATCAGAGCCTACTCTTTTGTAGGGTTTCGGACTACGAGTAAACCCTAAACGGTACGGTTCCCTAAACTGTATTCCGAGGACTGTACCCTGGATGGCACCAAAAGTATCAACCAAAACGTCTCCTCCCCAAAGTTCCCAAAGTATGTCCAAGCATCTAAACCCAACAGAACTCCTGAACCGGAAACCCTTAAGCCAAACCCTAAACCCTAAACCCTGAAGCCCCAGAACCCGGCGGCCATGATTGATCTTTGGTTAGTACAGCCCTCTTGCCTTTACATCCCGAACGCGGGCCTTAAGCCCCGCAGACTGCAACCTTCCGGAATGTTAAGCCCTGTTTTCAGGATGCAGAGTTTAGGGCTAAGAACACCGCAATGGCAGCTTCGATCTTTATATATATATATATATATCAGTGTTTAGGAGGGTTGTTTACAGCCTAACCTTAATTTTTGCAGGCCTGAGGTAAAATTTCCAAACTCTCTTCTATGTGCATTAAAACCCGCAACACCAGCCACTATTTTTTCACCAAGTAACAGAGAAACAGCCCTAACATCTAAGCTCCTAAACCCTAAAACCCTAAAACCCTAGAACCCTAAACCCCTAAACCCTAAAATCCGGGCAGGCATCAGCTGCTGCAGCCCGGAACTTTGGCGGGAGGCTTCGACGCCGATCGCCGCTCTACGGTCAGGCGAGGGTTTAGGGGTTTAGGGTTTAGCTAGCGCTTTAGGGTGTAGGGGTGTAGGGTTTAGGGGTGGTTTGCCGCTTCCGGCCTTTGATTTGGTTTTGGCGGTTTAGGCTTTGGGCTGGGATTTTGCGGCTTTAGGCTTTTTGTGAGCTTTGGGGGCTTTGAGCCTCTGGTGCTAGGGCTGCTTTCTATGGTTTAGCCGCCTGGGTAGCCTTCATCCAAAATTTCGGGTCCACGATCTTTGCCAACAAGCAAAACCAGTGGCGAAATTGCCAGACCGAAACTGCGAACTCAAAGTTGAAAGCGAAACTTGAACCCCAAACCCCACACACCCTGAAGCCTTAGTTTGCTCGGCTTGGGTTCCTATATCTATGTGCCCGAAACCTCCTTGAACAGCGATTTTCCCAACTCCAAACCAAGCCCTTCTGAAATTCACTCGGTTGCTTTCTTGCTTAGAGTCTAAAGGGTTTGCAACTTTGGGTTTAGAGGCTTGATGTCTTGCCCTGCCGGCAAAAGCCGCGGGCTGAAGCTGGCATGCGTGATCAATTGACACTAATTAGAACCCATACTATCAGACGATCAGGGTACTAAACCCTGAATATATGGACCACAGCCCTCAGCTGTCTAAACCAAACATTCCACCTGAAGACCCAAAGCATCAACTCCTGCACACCTCAGCCCCCATAATCTCGAAAGTTGCACACCCCAAGCCCTGAAACTTGAGAGCCCTTAAAACCTTAACCCCCAAAGCCTAAGCATAAACTTAAGCCCACACCTTAAAGTTTGAACCCTCACTCCTCTCCAAAGATCTTAAGCTCCAGAACTCCAAGCCCATAAACTCTCCCAAAGGGTCCTAGGTACTGTCATGGGGGATAGTTTCTCAAATCCTACTAGTAATTCCTATTGCCTTACAGTCTACTGTAGAGGCACTTAGGACCCTCTGGGTCCAAAAAAGCCCTGCAAGCCCCAACGCGAGGCCCTCCTCCAAGGGAACGTGGGCCCCGCTGATGCGGAAGAGATTCAGCGGGTGCTAAACGCCATGCCCTTCGAGCTTCTCGTCAAAAATACAGGGGTCTTAAAAACCATAAGTTATGAGAGTATTGATAGTAACCCAAATATCGGGGCCTTATAATAGTTATAAAAGTATAATGAGTAACCCGAAGCATAGTGGTAGAAATTTTGCGAGCTTCGCATCTAGTACCCTAAAGCTTGGACGGTGTAGGGCCACAAAAGGGGGTTCAGGGAGCAAGGTCTAGGGATAGCGTTGAGGATTATGGCACACTGAAGCTGCGGGCGCAGGGGTAACAACAGAGCAAACCCAAACCTCAAACATAAATTCGTTTGTTGTCGACCTTAGGCAGTTGTAATCGTAGCTGCTGTTGCCGCGTGTCAGCTTGGACGGCCCTGGAAGGTGAAGAAATAGAACTCCCCCGCACAAGCAGCACCATCACGACCACGAACATTTGCCTCGGCAGCAATCGCATCTTCCGGAGTATGGTACGACAGACTCCGTCTTCACAAGACTCATGATTGTCCCTCTCAACATCCTCACCAGCGAGATGAGCAACATAAGACTAAGCATGACCATCACCATGAAATATCATCAACTCATGATACTAGCCGGCTTCTAGCGATCTAGTATACTGCTCACTAGCTACAACGACGACAGCTGCTTCGGGTACCACGTTTTGCCAATCCGCCCATAAGCCTGCAAGACCATGGAACCTAACCTAAAACCACCCTCCAATCCCTAAGCGCTAAGCCCAAAAGCAGTTAGCCCATAAGCCCTGACCCCCAGTCTTTAAATCCGACACCTCAAACCCTAAACCTTGAACAACCCCAAAGCCAACCCTGAGCCCGAAACCTGAAATCCTAAACCTGAAACCTTAAGCCCGAAACCCAGACTTCAGAGAACCAGCGAAACTGCAACACAAACCCCGATTTTACAGAAACGAAAGCCCGAAATCCAGAGTATGAAAGAAACTACAGCGGAAACCCAGATTGAAAAACGAAACTAAGCCCGAAACCCCGGTTCGAAGAACCCAAACCCGACGCCCAGATTACTGTAGGGGCCTTAATAATT